GGCGCCCTGGGCCCCGGCTGGCCCGCACCTGGGCCAGGGTTTCGCTGGGGCAGAGGCTAAGCTGTGGGCCCTGCTGTTCGCAGGCCCGGGCTCAGTCAGCTGGTCTGTGAAATGGGTTCCGGCACTCCCTCCTTTACGGGGTTACACGGGAGTGCGTTCAGCTGGGCGTTGGCACCGCTTCGGGCCTCTGCCTGGGGTGGGTGGCTGCGGAGTGGATTGTGGGGTGTCTGCCTGGGGTGGGTGGCCGGGGCCTGGCGGCCAGAGAACAAAGCCGGTGCCGGGAGAACAACAGTCCAGCCCCTCCCCGCTCCCGGCTGCCAGGGCGGGAGGACTGGAGGCAGGAGAATGCCGGCCCCATCACACCCGCGGCTGTAACTCAGGCCCCAGACGCTGCCAGCGCCATAAATTTGGGCGGAAAGTGCAGCTCCAGCAGTTTGCGAGCCGGAGCGGGGGAGGCCGCGTGAGTTACCGCCGCGGAGGAGCCCGCCCGGCATTGTTAGCGCAGCGGGGATGGATTGCTGCTGCCTTAATGAAATGGAATTTTAATTTATGTCCGAGCCCGCGGCGGGGTGGGGGTGCCCGGGCAGAGGGGGGCTGAACCCCAGGACAGGGTCCCCTCTGTGGGGTGGGGGTTGCAGCCACATCTTCCAGGACAGGACGAGGGGCACCCCTGGGTGCTGCCAGCCTCGGGGAGTTTTGGGGAAGACACGTTATTCCTCTGCGCCTGCCGCTCACCTGGTCACACCTGCGGGCCCAGGTGCCAACCCCTAGCAGCTCAGGGAGTGGGGGGTCCCATGCTGCTGCCTAGTGGGAACTGGAGGGTCACCTGGCGCTGGACCAGGCGTGGAGACGTGGGGGAGGGGCGCGTAATGAACCTGGGGCTCTGGGGGAGCCCCCCGGCCCCCACAGACAAACGAGGCATCACCACCTGTGCTGCTTGTGGCCGTTACACCCCTCTCGGCAGCCTGCTCAGCGGGGCACTCTGCGGGCATCTGGCAGCCGGGGCGGTTCCCTCCCCACGGGGTGCACAGTCACACACGTGCTCTGGGGGGCGCTGCCAAGCCCGCACTTCCGGTGAGCCGGGCCTGGTTGCACATCCCAGCTGCACGTCCCTGCCCCCGGGAGGCCCTGCCTCTCCGAGCCTCAGTTTCCTCTTCTGCCCTGAAGGTGATGAGGGCGTTGTCACCCAGAGGGTGGAGGGTTCCAGTCGGGTTCTGAGCGTCTGGCCCACCATGGAGGCGAGGTTTTCAGCGGAGCTCCCCACAGCGCTCAGCCCTCACAAGCATGTCTTAGGTCCGTGCCCATTTCACAGCCGGAAACACTGAGGCACCTGCTCAGGTTCACAGAGTCGTGAGTGGTGCAGCCAGGCTCCCACCCTGTCGGTGGGCGTCGGGAATCATGAGGTTTCTCCTCCACACAGGCCGCCCGGGCCCGCGTGAGGGATGCAGGATTTAGCGACATGATGTTGAAGGTCTGGGGACCTCCTGGGTGTGCCAGGCCCTGGAGGGCCCCGGTCACTCGGGATGGAAGACGCCAGGGAGAGCCTGCCCTTTGGCCGTGGCACTTGGCGAAAGGGACTCGATGGGTCCCGGTCCAGCCAGCTGAGCAGGACGCTGTGTCCTGGAAGTGACAGGCCAGGTGCCTCCACAGCCGGGGCAGCTGCATCTGGGAGACTGATGTCCCCGGGACTGCAGGCTCCCGGGCAGGGGGAGGGCCCAGTCACCCGCCCTGGGACTCTGACCAAAAGCCAGGTCAGCCAGCCTGAGGGACAGGGTCTGGGGGGCTGGGCTTGCCAAGCTGTTTGGGGGGAATTTAAACGGAGTGGGGTGCACTGGGGGGCAGGTGGCAGTCACAGCCAGGAGGGAACAAGGTCATCAACTGGGCCAGGGGTGATGGAGAAGAGCCAGGAGAGGGGTCTCCACGAACATATGTGTGGCGTGTGACTGAGAGCCCAGCAGCCATGCCCACGTGTGCCCCGCCTGGGCCTGACACCCCACACTCCAGCGTGAGCAGAAATGTGCATGCACACACCCAAACCCATGTGTGCACACCCACCCCAAACACACACACACGTGCACAGGAGCACACAAAACAGCGCACACCCAAGTGCATGTGTGTATATGCACACACACACACACCCAAACACATGCATGTGTGCTCCATCACAACACATGTATGTGCATATGCACACACCCAAACATGTGCCCCCCCCCACATGCACTCATCCCCATGCACTGAGTAGTGGGCCCCTCTCGCCACTAGAGGGCACTGGAGGCCTCCCAGCCTCTGACTCATTTGCCATGTATGTGCATATGCACACACCCAAACATGTGGCACACACCACACACACACCCAAACATGTGCCCCCCCCACATGCACTCATCCCCATGCACCGAGTAGTGGGCCCCTCTCGCCACTAGAGGGCACTGGAGGCCTCCCAGCCTCTGACTCATTTGCTGAAACAGATGCATGTGTGCACTTGCGTGTACACACACACACACACACACACACACACACTCCCTCATGGCCAGTCGGCCTCGGAGCCAGGATGACACATGGGAGAGGAAGCCCTCGGTGCTGGAAGTGTTCCCGGCGGCTGCGCCCTTTCAGATAAGCACCGGGCGTGTCGGCAGCTCGCCCCCTCGCCCACACGGCTGACTTCAGTGTCCAAATGAACCAGGCAGCCCCCAGTCTCCTCTGGCCCCTACGCCCCCATTCACTGCCCTGAGCCTCACTTCCTGTCGCTGGCCGTGGCGCCCTCTGGACGGCTCTGCCAGGGGAGGGCCTGGCCTGGGGACCCAGGGACCCAGGGACCCAGGGACCCAGGCCCGGACGCTCCTGGGGGCAGAGGGCTTTGCTGGCACCGGGGCCGTGGAGGGAGGTGTGCCAGGTCAGCGGATGAGTGGCTAGTGGAGGGACCGGGGGATGCGCAGAGGGAGGGCCTGGGCCTCTGCCACAGCCCTCAGCCCGGACCTCTTCTCCCTCAGCCTCTCCCCAGACCTGGGCACCCAGGCTCCCTGCATTTGGTCTGACCTGACCCCTCCCCCAGGACAGCCTGGTGTGACCTCCAGGTGTGACTAGGTCCGAGCACAGGTGTGAATAAGCCCTGCCTGCATCCTGAGCACCAGCTGTGTGAAGCCACCGGGCACTGGGAGCTGGTTATGCAACAGCAGAGAACCAGGACAGGGGACACGGGGCCCCCGAACCAGCCACGCCCGTGCTCCAGCCGCCAGACACAGTCGCTGCCCAAGTCAGGTCACCCTGAGCTGGGCCGTGGGCAGGCTGGTCTGGGCTGGCAGCAGGCGGGTCTGCAGCAGGCCCGTCAGTTAGGAAGGGGTCCCCCCACCCCATGCAGAGCATCACCCCTGTGGAGGCGGGGCTGTGGGAGGTGCAGGGAAGAGACGGGGGGGTTCCCCAGCCAGGGAGGAGCCCTGCACCTTCCCCAGTGGGACGGCCTCCGGGGACGAGGAGAGGCGCCGGACACGCTTCAGGCGAAGAAGCAGCGAAGTGCAGCGCGCCCGGCGGGCTCCGTGGTGAGCGCCGACCTAGGAACCAGGAGGTCGCGGTTCCATTCCGGTCGGGGCACCTGCCCAGGTTACAGGCCTGATCCCCGGGGGCGTGCGGGAGGCAGCCGATGGGTGATTCTCTCTTGTCACTGATGTTTCTCTCTCTCCCCCTCCCTCTCTCTCTGAAATCAATAAAAAAAAAAAAAGAAAAAAGCAGTGAAGCACGGAGGAGCGTGGCTACTGTGCTGCGGTCGGGGACAGAGGGGGACTGAGCTGCAAGCCCTGCCGACTATGAGACGAAAGGAGGCTTGAAACCAAGGAAATGGAGACATTTTAATGCAAGAAAAAGAACAGCGGGCACAGCTCCCCCGCCCGTCGGCGGTCCTGCCGGGAATGTGGTTCTGAGCGTCCCGTCCCCGTGCAGGCG